TTTCGGCTCGAGTCGCGAGCGCAAATTCGCCTGTGCGACTCCCATCTTACGTCCCGGGTAGTACACCGAGGGTATTTTCGGCGGGTATTCCGGCCGACCTTTTTCTCGCCCTCTCGCCGACGTCGCCGTTTGCGCGGGCAACGGCGGCGATTCCTCGATTTCGAGGCGAAGACCTAACTTCACTCCCTCGGACTCTCCCACTCGGCTATTTTCCGCGCTGGACATCGGTGGACTCGGTGTCTCTCGGTGAGTTTACATTTATGATAACGCGCGGAAACTCTCTCTGATTAGCCCCCCCCCCCCCCCCGACCAGCTCGGGCTTGCAAACGGTTTGAACAATTTTTTTTCTCCCACCCGCGCGCTTCGGAACGAAGCCAGACGCGCCCGGGACGAGGCGCGAGAGAAGAAACTGAAGTTCCGCGGATTTTTCAGAAGCAGCTTCCTCCTCCCCCTCCCGGTCGGCTGCGTTTCAAACCGCGGTCGAAAAGAAGTCTCGAAGCATTTCGAACGCCCGACGGCTTTGAAAGACCCCCCCCGCCCTCCCCTCCCCGCATGTAAACATCGCTCGCCTTACGTTTTCGTTTATTGTCGTTTTATCGCTCCCTCGGCTCGCTCGGAGCGCCTAATGAATTGATCCCGGACTATTTAGTCAGCTACGAACCTCTCGGCGGCGCGCAATTATCGCGCGTGCGGCGCCTATGGCCGCGAATTCTCGCCATGACGTCTCGCTAAAAATACACTCTTCACGTACGCAGCGGTCTGGCGTGCGCAAGGTCGTTGATCTTAATGAGCAGACGTACGGGTGAATTTTTATTTCCTGCCGGCGGAATTCTCTAATCTCTGTGCCTCTCCCCTCCCCCCCTCTCTCTCTCTCTCTCTCTCTCTTTCTCGTCGGCTGGCTCGATTAAGACTATTAATTATATTAACACGTCGTCGACGCGACGAGCGATACTGCCCTTTACGTTACGTGGAACGTAACGGGTTACGTGACGGGTAATGTTTTAGATTAATAGTTATTTATATTCGTTATATACAGGGTGATGCGAAATTCTCGCATTCGGAGTACAGGATATGATACTTTATGCTGAAACAACGTTTTCCTTTTTAACAAAATTGCATCCGATAAGTTTTTGCAGAAGAGCGTGTTAAAGTTAACGAAAAGCGCTCTTGTCTATGTAGCGCTCAGGGCCGTGGCGCGCGCGCGCGCGCGCCTTACTCGCGTGTACCTTCAGTCAGTGATTAGTATTCATAAGTAGTGTCTTTTAAGACACTCATACCGCTCTGTTGCGATTAGTTCACGACATATCTTAAGACTGTACTTGAGACTGTACTTAAATAATAAGAGTCAACTATGACCGGGATTTCACAACTCACAAAGCATATTATTTACACTTGTTTTTATTTTCAGATGATATTGTGCAATCGGACAATTTTCTATCCGTTTATTACGTAAGAAATAAAGGCAATACTTATTTTATTAACTTTTCATTATTTAAGCAATACAATACGGAAGAAAGTCAAATCCCGGTATCGTTTCATAGTTGATTTTTATTATTTAAGATCTTAATATAAGATCTTAAATATAGTCTTGAGATGTCGTAAACCAATCACAACAAAGCCATATGAGCGTCTTTAAAAGACATTACTTATGAATACTAGTCATTGACTAGGTACACGCGAGTGAGGAGCGCGTGCGCCGGCCCTGAGCGCTACATAGAAGAGAGAGAGAGAGAGAGAGCGCTTATTCATTAACTTTGACACGCTCTCCTGCAAAAACTACTTGTCGGACGCAATTTTGTTAAAGGAAAAAGTTGTTTCTCTCAGCATAAAATATCACGTCCTGTACTTCGAATGCGGGAATTTCGGGTCACCCTGTATATGTATGCAAGACTTACGGTTTTAGAACGACCTTTTCGAAGACTCACTCGATTTTATCCGCTGCGGACTGAAACAGAAACGTTTTAGCTCTCCCGTCGGGGGGATAATTATAAAGTAGGAAGAAGACGTACAGAGAGAGATTTTGTTTCGAACTCTCGCCCCAAGATCGAAACTCGAGCAATGTGTGAGGCTATCGGGAATCGGACGAAGGATCTCTCGCGGCTTGGGTCGATTCGTCGCGTGCTCGTCGTTTGAAGCTCCGAGAAAGCTCTCCGCGCGCGCGCGCGCGCGCTCCTCGTGCGTTGCTCCGCGCTGTCAAACTTTGTTATCCTCCGATAAAAATTTCATTTAACTCGCACTGATCTATCCGCACGAGTCGGCTCGTATTCGGCCATTTCCCCGATCAGGAATAATTTCGACTGATCGTCTCATATCGCCGTTATCTGTCGCGCGCGCGCGCGCGCGTTTCCCGCCGGCTCCCCGATAAAAGACGGTATCGATATCGCGCCGGGAATTGACGCGCGCAATTCCCGGCGCAATCTCGACAAGTCCGTTTATAGAAAATCTCAAACGAAGATTACTCACGCGGCTTTCACGTCAAGCGAATCTTTTCTCATTGCAGGCCGCCTGCGAGCTTCCGACTGGCGCCCGTTGCGAAGAAGCCGTTCTGCAAGACGAACAGGTAAGAAGAATTAAGGCCGAGGGGAGAGATTTCGCCTTCCTGCCGAAACTTTGGCCTGAACTTCCGAAAAGCATTCTCGCGCGCGCGCGCGCGCCTTATTGTCGTGGATCTTGATGAAATTGCTTCGAATCTGATCTCAAGCGACTGCCCCTGAATGGGCCTTCTCGCCGACAGGCGAGGCAGGCTTAATGCCGACAAAGTTTAAATAACGTTACATGTCGCTGATGATATCTACATTATTTTCCCGGAGATAAGAAGAAGCCTACGTGCTACTTTTGCGTTTAACGTTCCAGATTAAGAGACGGACACAACTGCGAAGGTTAAAACGAATATCCAAAATGTAAATGCGCGTAGATAAATCTGTGAAAGTGGTGTGAGTAGTTTTCGGAAATTTATCCAGCTTCCATGCTCTTCCGTCAACTCTTCGGGAACAAGAGTCACCTACTGGCGATTGACGAAGAGAGCTGACATACGAGAGTCGCGCGGAGATGCAGGAGGATAATTTGTATGAATTTGTATAAAAGGAGATAAATTTAAGAATTCGATGTCGGTATCTTTCGTGTTCTCCGATATTATTCGTAGGGCGCGACGACGTAGTCGAAAAATAGCCGATTTTATTAACATCATGGTCGAATCTTCTTCACTCGTTTGTAATTGCTCGTCCATTTGCGATTTGCAAATTTACCCCTAAAGGGTAAACTTTACAAATTTCTCCAAACTTGAAGCATCAACGGAAAATGGTAAAACACACTGCACAGGCTATTGTATTTTGATGCCGCAAATGTTTATTCATCGCCTCGTCGAATGCTCGTCTTGTTAAAGAGGACAGGCTTTATTTAACAGGTTCTTGATTCGATTATCTATTTCTCTCTCTCTCTCTCTCTCTCTCTCTCTCAATAGTTTACCACGCGCTTCATCTTGGCAGCGAGCGATGCATTAATCACGCAATTCATCCGGCCGCAAGTAGAGTACTGCGCCAAGCAAATAATAAATAATCTGAGCGAGCTCAGTGGCCGATCGCGCGGGCGAATGTAAACTTCCCCCTTCCGTAATGTCTTAATATCTTTCCTAATACCTTTCCAATCTCGATAGGATCTGCGGGTATTCAATGAACGTGGAAAAAGAGGAAGCTGTAAGCCTCGTCGGCGACGCGTCCCGCGTCCTGTAATCCGTCCTCAGGAATCAGCGGCGATCCGATCGCCGCGATTCGACGACGATCGATACGAGCCGACTCGACGAAACGCGACATTAACCGCGCTTTGCACTTATAATCATCCTGATCGCTTCGCAGTGTCATAATTAACGTCAGTAATCAAAGTTCGCCATCGCGCGACATTTCTCGGCCACCGAATATACGCGTTATTGATCAACCAACGATCTGGGTTGACCCGGAGTGGGGAGGGGGGGGAGGGGGCGATCTCTCGTCGTCCCTGTTTATTGTTTTAGCACCCACACTCACGTCGTGTATTTGAGTCATAAGATCTCGAGACGGCAAGCGCCGCGTGTTTGCCGCGACACGCGCGAACGTGTACTCGTTCATTATTTACGATTTTCCCGCCGGCCGATAAATATAAATTTCGCCCCGGCTCTCCTGAGGTATTTATTATTGAATCTCGTCGCGCGCACGCGCGCGCGCGCGCGCTGACATATCGCGTCAGTCGACACATGTTCCTCGTACGATCGCGAGTGCTAATGAACGAGTGTCCTGTGCGGGAGGGTGCAATCAGGGCGGCGGATCGGTAGAGCAGGACGGAGGGCGCAGGACAAGGGGCGCGGGCGGCGATACATCATGCATCTCCAGGTGTGTGTCAGTCATTGATTTCACGGGAGGTTCCGATCTCCCGGCGGGCGTTTGGCGAAGTTTCCGGGAACGAGGAAACAGCCCCGGTCGAAATTGAGCCCCCGGCTCAAGTCCGGCTCAAGTCAAAAGTAATTTTAGCCCCGATGATCCTCTCTCGTCTCTAAAATCTTGGCGACTTGGTTCGCTAGGTTCTTTCGCGCGAGAGACACGTCGCGTCCAAACGCGGTCAAATTACGGTTGACAAATACGAACCGGCACTCTGAATGACTCGCGCGAGCACGAAAACCGATCCCGGAGTAACCTAATGTGATCTCAATCTGACAGTTACTTTTACGTTTAATAATGCTCGTCAAGCCGCGATTATACGGTCTTGTTTACGTCCGCCAACAGCGCGCTCGTTCGGATCGCGCGATATTGTTTACATCTGTTGTCATCTCTGATGATTTATTGTTATCGCATGGAATCCAGTTTTAAATCTCTATTAGTGGACGCACTCACGGCATTATTGGACATGCGAGTGTTTGTCTTCGTTTAGCGCGACAGCTTTTTCTCGGTATCAGCTCTTTTAAGAGCTGACAGTCCGAATCTCGAGTCCGAGACAAGAAGAGCGGCGAAAGAGAGAAACGTTAAAAGTATAAACACGTGTCGCTTCTATTTCACCCACTCATTCGTTAATCTCTATCAGATCATTCAATATTTGCTTCTCTCTCTCTCTCTCTCTCTCTCTCTCTCTCTCTCTCTCTCTCTCTCTCTCTCTCTCTCTCTCTCCTCTCGCATGCTCTACTTACGGCCGAGTAGATTGCATAATTGATACGACGCTTGCTGATATTACAAGTGGAGATTAAACTCGCGAGCTTTCGGAGATAATCGAATATTAAATAATCTCAAATGAGTGTCTCCTCGTGAGACAGTGAACGCGAGGAGAGCGGCGAGCAGGTATTGTCGAGCAAGCAGTTTCCAGTCGGTGTCCAGGTAGGATAACAGTTTGTATACAGCGTCCTATCTCGAGAGATTCTCCTCATTGGTCCTTCAAGTTGGGCAGAATTTGCAGGGCCAATATGGACATTTGAAATTTCGACCGGGGCTCGCTCGACGAACCGCCGCACAGTGGGATGTTTGTGCCAAAAAGTTTGGTCAAATTTATTCTTTGACGAATTTCGGTTTAAAACGTACTACTAATTGTACATATGATTATTATGAAGATTTTGTATAAGTTTTTCATGAAATAAAGTGTAAATATATGTGTGAAAATATTTTAATAATTAAGAAAGCACAATATTTCACATCAATAAATATTATAACTAGACGAACTCCAAATTTCTTCGTCCAATGAGTGCATTCCATCCTCGGTCATTCAATATCATTTTTATCTGTTGAAATATCTCCTTTTCTTGGCGTGGGGTCAGTGAAAAAAAGCATATCCAATGTTTCTTTTGAAAACTAGGATTAGGTTTCTTTCTCGGTACGGATCCACATATTTGTTAGTAACGGGTCAGAACTTGGTAAAAGTCTGTTGATTATGTCTGTACTGCAAAAGGAAACAAAAACAGGACAAAAAGAAACGAAAGGAAACTTCATGTCTGAATAATCTTTGGGCAAAACCTAATTTACGTTTAGGGAAACAAAAGTAATTGCTAAAACTACATCCGCGGTTTTCCGCGGCTAATTCTTTCTGATATTTCATCCGGAGAGATTACTTTTTCGTTTCATCCAAGAAACGTAACAGGGATACACCCTGAAGTATCAAGCCAAATCCTTCGAGTTTGACATCAAGAACGCAAAAAGATACATTATTGAATGCTATTTTGAAAATCGTACAACTACGTGAATAACAATTCAATCGCAATAAATATAGTCTAAAACGTTTCTTCATGCCTTCCTCGTAACAATCCATAACGAAAAATTTCTCGCGCTGCCACTTCCAACAAGAACTCAGTTGTCAGAATATAAAGAAATCTGTTGTCATTTTTAGCTTAAATCAATTTTTTCAATTTTTTCGAAATTTCTTTTCGAAGTTTTTTGTTCATTTTTTTTTTGTTCATTTCTCGTTCATTTTTTCACCAGATTTTGACGTTGAAATGACGTATGTTTGCTGAATAGTGAGCCGAAAGCCGATTACCCAACGTCGAATGTAGCGTAAAACTGAACACTTCTTCAACAATGACGTCAGCCACATTAGACCCGCCATTTTGAATTTTACAAAATGGTTCTGATTCATAATCGGCGACATGTGTGTGCGCAAGTTTCAACAAATCAGATATATATATTTTTAAGAAATATTGTTTTAAATATGTATAAAATGGTGTGCTTGTGCGAAACTTGAAAAATTTCGAAAAAATTGAAAAAATTAATTTAAGCCAAAAATGACAACAGATCTCTTCATATTTCGACATAAAAAATAACTATAAAAAATTGGGAGCAAATCGGCGTCTGACGTTGCCCGAGGTTTACTTGTAAGAAGCTGAAAATTCTGATCGAAGATCGTATGTTGTAAAGCGCTGAGAATTGATGCGATCTCCGTGCAATACGAATAATGTCCAGATTCTGACTAAGCAAACCACTTCGTGTTATCGATATATGATGAACAAAAGTATAGCGGCCCGCATTATTCCGCAGATATTCAACTGTCCAGGACAGTCACTCGTGTAAAGCAGGAATGATTTTAAGAAAACTCACTTTTCCAGCCAACTTTTCAGGCGAAACGTCTCACAGTGCGCCGCGCCGAGTCCAAGAGAGGAAGTTGACCGACCCGCTCGCTCGTTCGCGATTTTCTGCGAGGCGTCCTCGCGAGAGTTTCGCATGCCGATTCTGTACGCAGCGAGGGCGGACACGGGAAGGGGGGGAGGGGAGGAGAGGGGAGGGGAGGAGGAAACACCGGCATTAATCCGCCGCGAGAACGCGGCACGCGCGTCTGCGCTTCAAAATGCCGCTCATAAGTACGCGATCGTCGGTCGAGCGAACGTAGCTCGAACGGAACAATAGCTGGAGATGCGCGCGCGAGAGGGTTCCCCCAATACGACTTAACCAGATTACATACGCTTAGGATCGCGAGAGCCGCCCGGCGTTTTATGTACACGCGCACGCGCTCTATAATTGGAGAAATACTCGCGGCGCGAGAGCTTCAAGAGAGTAAGCCGCTTTACTTCTTATCCGCGCTGATTCTCGGCAAATTATCGAATCCCGCAGCGGGACCTTAACA